CTGGGCAGTAGAACTATCACAGTAAAAAACTGCTCAGACTGGTCATGGAAACATTTTGTTCTGTGAGTTGCCACTGTTTTAAATACTTTATTCATAATGTGAAAATAGTATCTTCACTGTGACATTTTCTTCCAAAGGATTTTGGTTCTTTTCCATTTTTATTGGTCTCTTTTTAATTCCAAAATTGAAATGATGCAGAAGATTTTAAAAATTCTTAATGCCCACACAAGTAGCCAGATTAAAAAATTAAGAAACAAACATTCCTGCTGTGTATCCAACCATCGAATTACCTTCAACCTCAGAAATTAAGTGGGTTATGAATATAGTTTATTGTGCTCACTGTGCTCAGGTGAAATTTTGCCATCTGATTATCACTGTCCTCCACCCTGCATACTACAAGAATATTCTTAGCAGTAGAAATAACAATTTCATGCATTTTTATATAAAACTCCCCTTAAATACACTATATTTAGAGAAATGTGAAAGTTTGTGACTCAGTCTCTCTGATTCACTTAACCATTGTTCTCAGAGAAATACTGCTTTTCTTGGAATTTGCAAACTTTTGTGATGTTGACACACCTAATTTACTTTACACCTAATTTCAAGGTAATTTTACTTCTGGACAAAGCAGTTTTCTAAAACTTTTTTCTCTGAAGCTGTCTTCATATAAGAATCAATTCCAAGAAAGTATAAAATGCTGTTTTAGCTTTCTACGTCTAGTATGCAAATTACCATGAATGTGGTAGCTTAAAATTGTAGAAATTTATTTTCCCACAGCTCTTAGAATTTGCTAGAACTCTTGATCATGTTCCTTCTGGGGACACCTGAGAAGATCGTATCCCTAGACTCCCCCACCTCCTGGTGAGTGTCAGGATTCTTATGATTTGACCATGTTTCTGTGACCTCCATCTATACATTTGTTTTACCCTTGGGTGTTTTCTGCAGCTTGGTTAAAATATTCTGTTTTATGTCACAAGGACACTCTTGCTGGCACTAGAACTCACCCCCAAAATCAATTAAGCTCATGATCCTTAAATTAGTAACACCTGCAAAGACCTTCTATTCAAATTAGGAAATATTCACAGGTATTAGAGTGTAGGCATATTTTTGGAGGTCATCATTCAACTCACTATAGGTATCAATACATTTAAATTTGTGCATTTTCTCAACAGATGTAACGTAATTCATGTCATTATGCTTATTTAATTTTTTCTTTACTAAACTATTATTGTACCATTTTAAAATTTCATATGATCGAAATGTAACTGGGTTGTTTAAGTAGAAGAAATATCTTGGTCAATACTTAGAAATAGATTATGTAACTATTGCTTATGCAGCTGACAATATATACTCAATATAATGTTATATATTAATAACTAAATCTTACTGAATAAATTGTCATTCATCTAGTTAATGGACTTTTTCTGGACATTTGCTTTACCAATAAAATGCTAGTAATAACAGACATAAAGAAGTGAAAGACACATCTTCATTCAAATAAATATCATTTGTTATCTGTGCAGCCTCTTTTTTTGTTTTATCTTGAGGATTATCTATATCCTCATAGTTAGAATATAACTCCTTTAACTGTTGTTACTGACTAAGCCTCTCCATGTAAAATATGCCTCAAGAATGTACATTTCAAAGCCTCCTCCAATTTACTAGGAAAAACACTTTATCTATCCAGTGTATTTTAAATGGGGCTGGCTCATGATCTCTTTTTATCTCTCACTTTGTAGGCCTTGGTTGCAAACAGGAGCTTCCCATTGCAAAGCTCCATGACTTTACCACAATCCTCCATTTAGCATCTACAATGAGGCTAAACCTATGCATTTTCCAACTTAGTCTAAGTCTGCCTGAAAATATACTGTTACCTATGCCTCATATAAGTCAAGCAATATTCAAAAACCTTAGTATTTTCAATTATTGAATGTATCTTAATTCACAGGCGTTAAAAGTTATATCAATTATATGTACTAATTAAAACTGGATCTATCATTTTAAGACATTTAACTATCTAGGAATTTATTGTCTGTTTTTAGAAACTTTATTGAAAGCTATGTTGATAAAATAAAACTATATGTATGTAGTGTTTTAAGTACTATGATGTTAATTGTTTTAAAATATTGTTTGGTTTGTAATTCCCAGATGGGTAAAGACATATCCTTTTGTTTAAAGTGCAACAAATAGTAAAATCACTCCTGGTACCATCTATCCATAAAAAAAGTTCTTCCTAAACCAGAAATTGGAATTGATGAGAAAAATCTAGATTACACACAACATCAGAAATCTGTACCTCTTCTTCTTAATCAATAGGAAGACATTGAGGAAGGATTAAGACCCATGTGGAACCTGGAAGTAAGAAACACAGAGAGCAATTACGTAAAAGTGGGTCACCTCCTTTCACTTACAGGGTGGGTCACTCAGGGTTACAAGTGAAACAGGAGAGAGTTTCATCCTGGTAACCAAGTAACCACACACTTCAAGCCAGGTGTAGGTGGCTTTTGAGAAACATTAATTTCTACTCAATCTTTCCTTCTTAATATTTAAAGTCATATTGTAAAAGTAAGCCAGAGGAAATTGATTTTAGACAGAGTTTCACCATGGCAGAAGAAGTCAATGCCCTCAGAAACCGGCATCAAAGAGCAAAGGCAAAATGAATTTAGGGTTAGACTCAGAGCAGCTGGATTATGTCCTTTTCCCGTGGCTGGATCCTTAACATATCTGCATTTTGCTTGTTTTACTCTACACTAGGTTAGATTAATTATAGCTGTCTTTACACAGACACATAGATAAACTGACTCAGTTGAGCATTACCAAGTCTCAGTTGAGACTTTACCATGAATTGAGAATTTGCCATGAGATTAAACAAGTAAATAACCTGTAACTCCAAGAGTATATGATGCTTTATTTATTGAAGTCTTAAATTCTACACAATTTAACAATGAGACAATGTATAAAACAAATTTGTGCATTTACAAGATTATGTTTCAATGTTTGTAACAAATATTTTGACATACAGAACAGTTCCGGTTGTATTTCTGAATAAAAGATATTATGAAACTGGTATAATTTTAAATTTGTGATAAATACATGAAAACTGATGATAGTAATTTAGGCAATGTTTAACCATAATCCCCTTTGGCTGTCTATTTCAAGGTATTACCATTTTAGCTTTTCAACTACCATTCCATAATTGCTTTCTAAGAAACTTCTAGAACTTTATGCCAAAATCTGATACAAGGCAGCTATCATCTTGTTCACAGAATAGGGTATATTTGAATTATTAATCTAAAATATTCAAGGGTCTGTAATTTAATAATGAGATTAAAAGTCAGTTAAAAATATGAAGACTAACAAGGGATTATGATTACAAATATGCATTTTCACTAATAATAAAATAAAAATACCATCAAGAACATGTTCTTCAGTGCTAATGCTATTTTAATGACAGGTTTGACTCTGTAAACAAATCAAATAAATTATATACCATTGTTAAAAGTAACTATGAGAATGTATTACTATCTGAAACTATTTGTTCACTGCTCCAAATTATATGCTTGCCCTTTTAAATGAGAGTACCAGAAATGGATTATATCTTCATAATGTAAATCACAATAAAATTATTATAAAATTTAAATTACCACGATAAAATTACATTATTAAAAGACCAATAAACTCCAGATGTTGTTTTATAAATATTATTCGATCCCCAGTACCGATAAAAAAGAAAAAGACAATAAATAAATAAATAAATAAATAGAACTTCTTGAGAAAAATTGCTATTTTCTGACTGGAGTACAGACTCTCACAGTTGGACTGGAAACCTCTGGTCATATCAGAAGAGAAAAAGTGTCCAAAAGAATGGAATCAAGGGAAAGGCACTGAGGAATTAATCTGAGAGGTCTGAAAGTAGGAAAATGAAGCACCAAAGGAAAATGATGAAAATTCCACAAGTCCAAAAATGATCAGTAGATACATAGATAGATACACAGTCACAATACAGTCATCGATTAACAAGTATAAAACCAATGACAGAGATAAGACTATACATTTTCAATCATTCTTACTAATAACTCAGTCAGGAAAGATAATCAATAAATGTTAAAACTAGAGAATAAAAAACTAGTAATCAGCTCCTTTATGAGGAACAAAGCACTTAAGCAATCATTTTATTAGATGCTCCACAAATTAATTAGGGAAAAAGAATAATTATAGAGATATCTTGGAATCAACTTTTTTACCAAGTGACCAAATTAGTTTCCCCAATAATGGGACAGATTAACATGGTTCACCCACTCATAATATACCCTGGACAGTTTTCTTTTCTGCAGAAAGCGAATAATGTGAATCAAAATTTAAGAACCATTGTATATTCTCAAGTTGAAGGACTTTCTACCACAGTCTACTTTTAAAAAAATCAATTCCTGGAAATGCATAAAACATCTGAATAAGAAATCTAAGTGACATGAGATTAAAGAGTGGTAACACTCTACTGTATTACTTAGTCTTATATTAGGCCTTGGGTAAATAATAGTGGGAAAAGCACACGGATATGAGAGAAAACAAACACATCAGTAATAAGATTACTTATTATTTAATAATTATATTGTGGTTAAATTAGGGAATGTCCCTTTTCTTGGTGAAAAAAATGAGACATTTAGGACTGAATGGACACCAGCTCCACACTTCAATTTCAAATGGCTAAAAACATTAAGTACATAAAGGGAAATAGTATAAGACAAAATGCCATACCAGCATTTGCTGAATCTGAAGGTACATGGGAGTCTGCCTAATTTTCTTACATTTTTATATGTTTAAATATATTTCATAGTAAAATTTTTTTAAAGTATAAAATCCAACAGTGGGGATGATGTCAAATAGGATTAAGCCCTCAACCTTTTGCCAAACTCATATTGAAAATGTAAATCCAACTTTCACTGATTCCCTGCACTGACATTTTTGTTATTCTTTATCACTTGACAGAACATCATTGCTGCATGGGAGCCAATGAGTCCTGGGTCACTGAGTCCCTCTTGGTGGGATTCTGGCTCAGCACAGAGATGGAGGCTCTCCTCTTCTGGATCTTCACCCTGTTGTACACCATCAGCATCCTGGTAAATGGCATAATTCTGGGACTCATCTACCTAGATCCCAGACTGCACACCCCCCTGTATTACTTCCTCTCACACCTGGCTGTCCTTGACATGTCCTATGCATCCACCAATGTCCCCAAGATGCTGGTGAACCTCATGAGCCACACGAGAACCATTTCCTTTGGTTCCTGCATAATGCAGACATTCCTGTACTTGGGCTTTGCTGCCACAGAGTGCCTGGTTTTGGCGGCAATGTTTTATGACCGATACGTGGCCATCTGCCACCCACTCCATTACACTGTCATCATGAGCTGGAGAGTGTGCATGGCTCTTGCTGTCACTTCCGGGTCTTTTGGATTTATTCTCTCTATGGTACACGCTATTCTCCTGCTGAGGCTGCCCTTCTGTGGGCCCTGGGCTGTGAACCACCTTTTCTGTGAGATCCTGTCTGTCCTCAATTTGGCCTGTGGTGACACTTGGCTCAACCGAGTGGTCCTCTTGGCTGCTTGTGTTTTTGTCTTAGTTGCGCCCCTCTCTTTAATGCTTGTGTCCTATGTGAACATCCTCTGGGCCATCCTGAGGATCCAGTCAAGGGAGGGCCGTGCAAAGGCCTTCTCCACCTGCTCCTCCCACCTCTGTGTGGTCGGGCTTTTCTTTGGCATAGCCATACTGGTTTATATGGTTCCAGACTCTAATCAACGAGAAGAGCAGGAAAAGATGCTGTCGCTATTTCACAGTCTCTTTAACCCAGTGCTGAATCCCATCATTTACAGCCTGCGGAACACTCAGATGCAGGCTGCCTTCCACAGGGCTTTGCAGAAGAGAACCACAGGAGGGACGGCAAGCCAGACTGTTGGCTTGGTGTAGCCTTCCTCTTAAAACACGGATTGTGGAATCAAAAACTCAGAAAAATTCCCTCATAGAAGTTTGCTATATGAATAGTAATAGCTCAAATAGAATTTGAACTTCTTTCTTTGATTTTATTGATTTTTTATGCTCAATTTCATTTGTATCCCTTCTCATCTACATTACTTCATTTCTTTCTTTTTTTTTTAGTCTGATTTCGAAGGTCTGAAAACAGAGCAAAATGACAATAGCAACAGTTATTATAATTTACCCAACTATATCATTTACATTTATAAATTTTGTAGTTATGAATTTCATTACATTCACACTATAATAAAATATAACTTGTACTTTAGTATTATAAGTTACAGTTGCCTGTTGAAAAGTGTCAGTGGTGGCAACCCTCTTGGGACATTTTCTGTCTCTCTGTCAGACAGAAGCTTTCTTTCTCTCAATAATATGTTCCGTTCTTAACTTCCGTTGTGTTTAAAATTCATTCTTTGATTTTATAACACCTAAACTCATATCAGACATCTAGTAGGTTTAGAGTTTCTCTCCCTTATATCATTTGAATATCTTCACAGAGCTCAATGAATGGAGACATGAGCAATACAATGCTGAAGTCATATTCCTTTGGAAACATATATCAGTGTTGGAATATGTTTGATTCCTAACATGTTGAAAACGAGCCATTTGATATTTCTCTGCATATGTGCGGGGCTACCTACTCCCCCAGAGACAAAATGGAATACAGAGACTTAAAGCCAAATGCCTACCCAAGATGAAAATGCCTGGTGTCTAGCCAAGACCTTTAGATAAACCCTCCATAAGTACTTCTGACTGGCAGTCAACAACTATGACCCGCTTCAGCCTGGAGAAATCGCCCTACACTCCTTAACAACAGTTCACAGTACATCCTCACAGTGGGAAATACTGTAGACAATTAAGTTAGGTAGAAATATTATAGGCACTCAGTCAGGGCTGGGCCCTAGAAAAGCCAGTGCTGGAGACCAGAAGCCATATAAATATGGGGAAAAACAAATGCCTCCCACAGTGGGCCAGATCCATATCTCAGGTTAAAAGACAAACATACAAACACATCAGGGATTTATATTCCAAATAGATATGGTCACCTTGAGGAAGCCAGAAGGAGCCACTAACCCAGCCCCCTATGAAGAGGTGAAGGCCCTATTCGATGTTCATGCCCATTTGCTACATCAGTTGCTACCCATTGGCTCCCAATTTAATCAGCTTTGCTTGAGAAATTAAATTCATAATCTTATTGGTTGACCATGGATCTGTCCCACCTCATGCCAGCTTGTCTGGCAAGTTCCCATTTTTCCCACTTTGAATCTGTCTCTGCTCACGATTTTGCTGTGCAAAAAGCCCTTGAAAAGGCAGGGTCCTTGGCACTGCACTTGGGGTCCCTTCTCTTTTGGACAGAAGTTTTCTTTCTCTCAGTAAATATGTTCTGCTCTTTTTAAAAAGGAATACAATGGCAATGGAGTGTAAATCTAGCTTTTGGATTGAATTGCAACATTGAAAATTTGTCTTATTTGGATAGTGGGAAAGGGGAGAATGCTATTATCTCATGTTATTTGAATCAATTTTTTACTATTTCATTCCAAATCACTTACTTTCTAATAAATTAAACTTAAAGAAAGCAGAAATAAATGAAATAATATGCATTAAAATGGATATAAGTGAAATTTAAAACAGAAAATCAATAAAATCTATGAAAATACTGACTACTGTAAACTAACTGGAGTATATTAACAGACTACTGTTAAACTAACTGGAATACAAAAAGGCCTCAAATTATTAAAATCAGAGATGTAAAGTAACATCACGATCAACCTTTATGCAAAGGATCATCACAGAATAATAGAACGAACTCTCTGTCAAAAATCAGAAACCAAGATAGAAGGACAAATTTCTAGAGAAAATACCAACCCACTTGAAAAATGGTATTAAAAAATTTGTAGTAAGTAAAAAGGCTCAATTAGTAATTTTAAAGCACAAGCAAAGCCATGGACCATATTTCTGGAGTAACGTATGCTTAATTTCAGGAAAAATTGCTGCTACTTCTTCATAAACATCTTTCAAAACATAGGAAGCAAACAGAAGACTTTTGAAACCCATTCTTTAAGGTCAACAGCACTTTTATGAAAGATATTATAGGAAATGAAAGCTATGGACCAATATCTTTATGTACATAGATGTGACAATCCTCAGGACTAGAAAAACAATCCATCAGCAAACAGCAAAAAGATTAAACACTATAACAGAGTGAAATTGATTCTAGTGATGCATTGTTTTTTTTAACATTCAAACACAGTATAATACACTATGTTACCTAAATAAATTACCTACAGGAGTCAGACTACAGCAAAATAAAATACCTAAAGAAATTATGATCACTCATCTAACACAATTAAAACATTTGACAGTTCCAGTGCCTTTTTATGTCTTTCAACAAAACAGAAACAAAGCAGCTTCTTCCATTTTATAAAGCCAGATGTGAAAGCCATAGTAAGATTATAGTAAACCACGCTGACTGCTTTTCCCATAAGATGAAAGGAATATGATCAAAGATGTTCACACTTATTCTGTTGAGCCTTGCCTTGGAAGGCAAAGTAAGGGCAATTAAGCAAGAGGAAGAAATAAACAGCATTCGGTTTTAAATGAAATGAGTAAAAGTATATTGTCAAGTAACATGATCTTGTATAAAGGAAATCTTAGAGAACCTGCTGAAAATCATTTACACCTAACTAATTTAGAAGGTTGCAAGGGAAAAGCTCTACACAGTAAAATCAGTTGTGTTTCTATCAACACACATGGATGTTCCTTACATTGTTATTTATGAACATACGATATTGGGGATCCCCCTAATTTCCTATGATAGATCAATGATGAACTAAATTAAGATGAGTTTAATAGAAACAAGACTATTGCAAAAGACAATAATAATAATAATACGCTTATAATACACTGTTCATTTAAAAATCCTCTTAGTAATCTCCTGTAGGATCTAGTCCATTTTTAAAATATATGCATACAAAACTTGGCTATAAACTAAAATATCAATAGTTATTTCATTTGCAATATGAATAATTTTAATTTTTTGGCAATCACTTTATCTCATCAATTTCTAGAATGTAATATGTAATGAAAATAGCGACCACAAATTATCTAGAGCATCAGGTCTCCCATTTCAATGCATTTAGAATTGATTTTTTAAATTAGCAAATTAAAAGTTTAATTCATGAACAAGAACAAAATTAAATATTTAATAGATAATGCTTTATTTTAAATTGAATGTGCTTTTACAGGTGCTTCCACAAAATAAATATTTTTTCAAAATAGGATCTCATAGCCATCTAATTCTTTAATAGTGAAATGCAAGAGGAGCAGGCAATGGTCACAGAATTCATCTTACTGGAACTTGAGCTGACACATAACTTTAAGGCAATGGATTGTGAACAACACCCTGCAGAAGTGAAATGCTTATCTCCACAGAAACACTGTAATTGTAGCGTAAGCCTATGCTGATGGGTGAATTCATAGATTCATTCCCATCCACAGTTTTTGAGAGAATAGGAAGCGGTCATCTGCTTTTACAGAACTTCATCCATGCCCCAAGCATGGGACTAGACACTGTCAAGGAAGGGAAACACTCAACAGTGAAGTGTGAGTGTTTCATTCATTTTTCTAGCCTGCTGAACAAGCTGTAGGTCTTCCAAGTCACTAACATGACTGCCCACTCATCTTCAGACCAGTGTCCAAGTATGTAAGGTTTGAGTTTCCATTGAAAATGATCTAAAGACTAAGACCTTGGAAATCATTCATTCTTCTGCCTGCCTCAGAGTGGATAAAACAGACTACAGGAAAAGGAATACAGCTCCAGGGATTCAATTTATTTCACTGTGAAATAATAATCAGACACAGATGTTTCCATCTCCCAAGTGCCTTCAGAATGTTTGAGACCGGAATAACATAAAGATTCATGAAAATCTAAAAATTTGCATATTTGGGAGTCTTAATAGTGATCCAATCACAAGTTAAGGCCTTATATGGTCACAACTTCTAGTTATGAATATACTGGCTATTCATTGCCTTGACAACTAATGATCTCACTATCTCTACAGCTTCCTCAGAGACAGAAATGGACTCAATTCTCTGTAGGCTACAAGAGTAATGATGGTGAAGTTCTTTAATTCTCTACAGGAAATGTACTGGGACAAGAGAGATCTATTTTCTCATGTGTTGTGTAAAGCTCTCTCAACAATTTTGGAAGGTGTTCTCCGGAAATGATGAATTAATTAAACTCCTCCTTCCAAAAACAAGTTTGAAGAGCCAAATCCTTCCTGGAATGTTCTCAGACAAGCAGCAAGATATCTAGGACTCTCAGTAAATTCAGCCACATTGCAAAAATGTTAAAATGTTTTCCTATTCTTTGTGAAGACTCATTGAAGTCTTTAATACAACAACCATCTCTACCCATCCAGATTTCCTAATCGTCTTTGTGAGTTCTGGTCCAATGTAATTTAATGTCTTGTCTTCTTTGTCTTTAATGTTTTTGTACACTTTTATTGTCACACTTCTATGTCATGCAGAAGTACATTTATATTCTCTCATTGCTCAAATTCTGCTCATTAATAATTTAGTATAATAGGATAATCTGATTAAATTAATGGTCAGGATTATAACAATGTCACTTTAATCAATATGTCATTGGTTATTCTTGACTGATAATTATTTTTTAAGGGAAGAGACATATATGTACAAATAACATCCTGGTAAAAGCTTAATATTAACAAAATTTTTTAAAAAGAATTGTGCATAAAGTGTCACATACTGAAGCAAGTCAAACAGTTTTATGATGTCACACAACCTCATGAGCAATGAGAGTAGCTCAGAAATTTTTATTTATGGATAGCCCCACTTTAAGAATGTTAGGTGAATAACAGGAAATAAGTAAATACTTGTATACTCTCTTACTTCCACTAATCTGAGAAATCCACTTATCTTTTGAATGGTGGCAAGAGAGCACCAAGTTAAATGGGAGATTTTCTTGATGATGTTTTACAATCTTCAACTTATAATTTTGTAATAGTTTAAATGGAAAATCATGGATCATTCTTTCTATCTCTCAGATAAATTCACTTTACGTAAAAATGAGAGTAAAATTTAAGTATGAGGGTGAATATGATGTTTGTATTTGCATTTTTATTGTGAAGTGAGTCGGAAAAGTAATTTAATTCAGTCTCTCAGAGATTTACAGCTCCCATCAGCAGCATTTTTATGGAAGACAAGCCACTGTCAATCATCTGCAAGATGTCCTAAAACTACAGAGTTTCTCAGTATTGAATCAAAACCCAGCAAAAACCCTTGATTCATTTTTTTAGATAGCATTTCAATGAAAATCTGTTCAGTTATTCACACATGTGCTCATCAAAATATTATGAAAAACTAAGACACATAAAATAAGACTTTACACTGAGCATGTCTTCGTGCTGAAATGAGAGATTTGCTGAGTGAGATATTCCCGGTGCAGGTAAAGATTGATGCCAGAAATACATGTAGACACACACACTAAATGTAAACAACTAACGGTGCATTAGTTTACACTACCTTCATGAAACTCTTCCAACTCCAGATCTAATTTATTGGTATTTGAAATCTCTGACATATGCCTCATGAATTGGGGCTCATTGCTTCTCCAAAAAACTAAGTATGAATAATATAATCCAAGAGAAGCAAAATTTGTTTGAAGAATATGGGGTAGCCCACTGAATTAATCAAAGACTAAAATGAAATATTATGTTGAATTTCTAGCTTTCATTAAAAATGTTAGAGACCTTTAAAAAAGAAACATGTATACAAAAGCATGCATGATGTTCTAAGTTTACTGTAAGATTATTGTTTTGGCTTGTATCTAGATGTGCACAAAGCCTCATATGATCAGAGGCGGGGTTTTTGGATGTGGGTGGATCTAGGGTGTGTGATGCAGAGATTAAGGAAGGCCTACTCTGACTGTGAGTGCTGCCCATCCTAAGGTCAGGTACCCTGGAAGGAACATAAAACACAGAAGAGAGCTGTTGCCTCTGCTTGCTGCTTTGCAACTCCACTGCCTTCTGTCTTGCTCTGCCATGAACTGTACTCTGTGATGCCTCTTTGCCATGTCACCCTGCCTTGAAGCCAGGCAACTACGAACTGAATCCTCTACAAAGTGTGAAGCAAACGAACCATTCCTCCTTTATCTTTGGGTATATTTTGTCTCAGCAATGAGAAAAGTAAGACAGTTATCAAAAAAAATTTAAGCATTCATTTAAAGATACATAAATTCATTTCATCTATCTGAACTCTCAGCTACCATGACAAAAAGGCATCACTCTGTGTTTAAACTCTTCCCTTAAACCATGATAATGACCTCAATTTCCTCTGTCCTAGGGATATGGCAAACAATTCCACCTCCATCACAGAGTTCATCCTCCTGGGATTCCCTCTTAACTCAAGCATGCGGATGCTCCTCTTTGGACTCTTCTCCCTGTTTTATGCGTTCACCCTGCTGGGGAATGGGCTCATCCTGGGGATCATCTGCCTGGATAGCAGACTGCACACCCCCATGTACTTCTTCCTGTCCCACCTGGCCACCGTGGACATGGCCTACGCCTGCAACACGGTGCCCCAGATGCTGGTGAACCTGCTGAGCCCAGCCACGCCCATCTCCTTTGCAGGCTGCATGACTCAGACCTTCCTCTTTTTGACTTTGGCTATCTCAGAATGTCTGCTTCTGGTAGTGATGGCCTATGACCGCTATGTGGCCATCTGCCACCCCCTCCAATATTGTGCCATCATGAGCTGGAGGGTCTGCATCATGCTGTCAGTGACATCCTGGACCATGGGATTTCTTCTGTCCTTCATTCACCTAGTGTTACTTCTACCTTTACCCTTTTGTATGTCCAAGAAAATCAAACACTTTTTCTGTTAAATCATGGCTGTGCTTAAACTTGCCTGTGCAGATACCCACATTAATGAAAACATGGTCTTGGCAGGGGCAGTGTCTATGTTGGTGGGACCATTCTCCATGATTATAGTCTCATACATGTGCATCTTGCATGCCATCCTGAAGATACAATCAAGAGAAGGGAAAAGAAAAGCGTTCTCCACCTGCTCCTCTCACCTCTGTGTGGTTGGACTCTTCTATGGAACAGCCATGATCATTTATTTTGTGCCCGGATATGGCAACCCCAAGGAGCAAAAGATGTATCTCCTGCTGTTTCATAGCCTTTTCAATCCCATGCTTAACCCTCTCATCTATAGTCTTAGGAACTCAGAAGTGAAGAATACTCTAAAGAGAGTGTTGGAGTAGACAGACCATTGTGAATTGTAGGGTCCGTTGTAGGATCAATTGTAGTGACCAACAAATTTATCATTTTAAGAGACTCCTGACCATTCACAGAATCAGGGTTGCTTCAGACATTTATTTATAATGGAACCGTCTTCTGTTCTACTGTGAGATGACTGAGTCAGCAGAAATGAAGTACTACTTACATCTTCAATATAATCATAGTGCAACCATCCAGTAATGAGCCCAGGATTTGGAAGTAATAGTTTCCAAATGATGCCATTTATAATATCTTCATTAATCTATCATCCAGGTAACCATCTCCAAGAACTATCTTCCTATAGACACTAATTCCTACTGAGGCCCTTACAAAAATGTAGCGGAATAAGTTTGCAAATCACTGCACATAAGCTGTCTCATCTTAAACCTCAGGATTTGTATTAACCTCAGGATTTGTATAGTAAAAGCTATATAAATTGTTTCAGTAAAAAGCACTCATACTCCAGTTCTTAGTCACTGTTTCTCAAAATTATCTGATCATGTGATATTTTTTCATACACTTATTAGATTTCCTGAAACAGATTTTGCTTTTATTTGACTCCTTGTGAATATATTCTGAAACTACCCCATAAGGCAAGTGACTATTTTTTGTAAAAGGAGCCAATACACTGAATGTAGGTCTAAGCACAATAACCAAGATAAGCTTGTAAGGGACTATTCTCTGTTTAGTTTCAGAAAGAGAGGTTTCTTGTATATACTCGCCAATGTTGGATCTGTTAAAGATAATGAATCCAAACATCTCCTTCACATTGGACTAGCATGTGGTCCTCAGGAAGCACCATGTTCAATTTCACAATATTTCAATTTTGCCACTTAAAAAATATATATGAGCACTGAGCATATGGCTGAATGTTATTTACCTAGCAGGAGTAAAGCCTGGGTTCAATTCTCTGCAACACACCTGCACACATGCAGGCACACACACAAACACACACACACACACACACACACACACACAAGCACAAGTGATTCTGTATTTTTTTCTCATGTTTACCAACGACATAAAATTAACATTTTTCACTTCAGAGCATTAAAATAAAACCAGCCTAGTAAATACACCTGGAAATATTTCAAAATTCACTACTAACATGGTAAACCACAGATAATATGTACTTTTGAAATATGAACTTTGCTCGGTTTAAATTTTATAACATAAATATTTTAAATTTCTTTTCAATGGCAAGCTTTTTTAAACTTTTATACTCTAAAGGGGCTTTGTAACTGATGGGTATATGAAATTGAATGTAGAGCTATATTCTAAAATGACTGTTTTCAGAATTGTTTTTTTCAGGTTACTACTATCTTACCTGTAATGTTACCCTGATTTTTGTATTTTCTGCTCATCTCTTGGAACATCAAAATGTTCCAATATTTATAGAAGACCATCTACAAGTAAGTTTTCAGAAGCCATTAATTGGTAGTCCCCAGTGTGTTTATATTCATGTGTAGGGTCAGAGCATGATTGCACCTTCTCAAAATCTAATACTTGTGAGAGATTTTCTTTAGACTTACTCCATAGCACCAGCACATCGAGGAAGACATATAAGAAACTAACTGGAATATAATTTGTATGGTTGATTGATATGATATTACAAAATAATACGTTAACATGGTCATGTCTAGTAATATAATGAAGTAAAATACAAGTAAATATGACAGTGTCTTAAGTACAAACTTTTCTCAAGCAGCAAAGACAGAAAAGTTCAAGGGGAAGCTCCCCTGGAGAGAATTCTTTTCTCCTTCCACGAGGGAAATAATACAGAATCTCCTCACTTCGCAATAGAGATTAGGAGATATCTACAGCACACGACCAGCACTGATGGTGTGTCCTGAAAACCCTCCCTCCAAACAGGTCCTAAAAGAGAGTAATGGAACATGTTGCCCCTCCCCCCCCCTTTACTTCCTACACTGTTGCACATCTCTTTAAGCAGCTATCCACAGCATTCCACACCTTGGCGTGTTCCATGTGACCAGTCTCTTCTTGCGGCCCTTTCTTCATACTTCTGCTGCAGCACAGGGGCCCAGATGACTTCATGGAGAAGCTGAGCTGCAGAATTGATGTCAGAATGTCATACATGGTCACACGGGTCCAGCTTGCTGGGGTTCAAGTGAAGAGTGGGCAGAAGACAGTGCTGGGATTCATGAGAGGCCAATCATGTCAAGTGTCCCGGGACTAGAAGGAGACATCTCATCTCAGAAGAGTTCTGTGAGGTTGTCTGTGTCTCCTAATTGTGGATCCTGCTGAAATGAAGACAGAAATAGATAAAATTGCTTTCTCTTTTCGTCCCAGCAGAGCCAAGCAGGCAAGGCATCTCATGGCCCAGCCACATCAGTGAGATCTCAAGAGATGCCAATTAGTTCAAGCACAGGAGAATTAAACCTCTTCATGTGAGGATTCTGATGTATTTCAAACAGGAACAGAAGCCAGGGAGAAAATAGGACATGGTCCCAACCTTCAGATGCTTCCCTTGCTGAGATCCTTGTGACCAACTGTGGGTCATGACCAGCTGCCTCATTGCTCTGTACCACCAGCTCCTCTCCACACAGGCTGTAACTCCTAGTGTTGGGTTAACTATCATTGTTTCACTGCCATTCTTCATTTAAGTACTAGAAAGCAAAATGAATTGTCTCTATTAATGATGAATATATATGTTCATCACTCCCATTTTATATAAATATTCCTGGAAAGAATATGTGAGATACTGATGAACAAATTACATAAAAATTTTTAGGATATGGGAGTTCTGATTGATCAGAGGAGAAATGTCAAGGTGATAGGTTTATTTGAAGATGAAGATACTGAACAACAAAGCGAGGAAGCTTTGTATTATACATCAAGAGCGAATAAATGGAATACTGTTTCAAGTCGAAGAAAAGTGGAGTACAGTATATTATAGATTGTTGTTACATTTCAGAAAAATTAAAATATGTTAGTTTATAACTGTGGATTTAATTTTTGTCAGCACAGTCACAGATCATGATACATTTATGAAGACATATTTATTGCAATGGAATACAAAGAAAATGAATGATTTTGTTGTACACTTACGTTTCACTGAACATAGCAATGAGATAGCATAGGGCACCTAAATTTACTCAGCAAATGTGTGCATAAGGTAAATTTTCTGTGGCTTGCAACATGAGTCATGTTTGTGGGGATCAAAAGAATACAGAAAAAGCGTTAAGTTGTTAGAGCACAGCCAACTGAGAAGAGTGAACAGTTAGTAAAACTTAAGATTTTTTTGGAGATTTATCGTGATTAATTTCTATCTTGGAATTCAGCTCCTATCCAGCTCCTGAAGGAAAATATCTCAAGTAACTCCTCTTAATCTCAGAACCATCAACCCGCTGCACTCTGTCCTATCATGTCTGTCACAGGGGAGGTATGACCACTTACCTCCCCTGTTAGATGCAGTGTAGTCACATGTAACTGACCCTCACTTCTTCTTCTTCCAGATCCACAATAGTACCTATGCCCAGAAAATCACTTAGCTTACTAGCTGATAGCCCACAAGATACACTGGGAAACTTTGTAAGTATAACTGTGCAAGAAATTATAAGAAATGACTTTTCATTTCTTCATTGTTCCTTGCAAGTGAAGAGCCCTGCAGTTCAACTGAGTTGTGGGCTTACAATGGGTGACAATTTCAGTGATCTGCCTGACCGATGCTTAATCCAGAGAGCACACCATGTCAGTTTAGCAAATCAAGATTTACTTTTTCAAAAACAGGACTTATCCATTTCTAATGCTTTGTTTCAGTATAAAAGAATGTTTCTTTTCTTAGAAACATAATAGAACTTTAATTTCAGATTGTGTGTTAACCAGACACTAATTTTTCAATTTTAAAATTCTGAAATCAAACACATATAAAATAATGTACGTGAAAATGACTAAAATGTACAATTGGAGTAGGAATATGTCTACCCACGTTTCTATCTCCAAGAAGTGAGCAATTTTAATGTTTGAGATCTACTTGATTATTTTAAATGAATATAAGATATGCAACATTAGCATTTAAAATCAAATAAAATGTAGATAAAGAGATGTATACCATAAGTCATTTGGTCTCTTTTGTTGCGTTATCAAGTTTCAAAGTTCTCATTTGAGTAGAGTTCACCAATGATATTAATCTCAATTGCAGATATTGGTTTCCTTTAGAAAACCAGGATGCATGTGGTAAAATTATTATACTAATTACAGTAGAGTATGCCTTGGTAGATCTAATATAAGGATACCAATACACAGCTGTTTGTTGATTTGCTTGCACTTATTCATGTGTTTGCCATTCACCGAATGTGTGTTAATTGTCAGAGATATAAGATTAAGAAAACTACCTAGTTGTTCTAAACTCAATAAGGATTGAATAACAGGACTACATTTCTGAACACATACACACTGCATATTCTCTTCTGTCTTACCATTTGGCTATCAAAATATTATGCATTGCACTCTTGATTTTTTTTGCTTGCTTTTCATTTTGGGTGAAATAAAGGAAAATTGGGAAAAGAAGTTGGTATTTTATGTGAGTAAATTTGATTTTTTTCTCTCATGAGTATTTTCCTATGATTTGTGAACTTAATCATAAATGTAGACTGTTTATCAACCATGGAAATTCTTAATGTCAGTTGAAAATAACAATCAGGCATCTCTGAGGATTTATTATACTATTTAGATAATGTTTGTATGAAGCTGATTTGATGTTCCATCAATAATGCTGGATGTTGCATTGACTGGAGTAGCTATCCTGTTTGCAGACAAGGTGAACTTCAAACCAAGAATGATCCTAAGAGATAAAGAAGGTCACTACAAAAAGGTTAGGGGAAAACTTCAAGAGGAAGAGATAACAATCTTAAATATGTGTGTATCAAATTGCAGAGGACCAAATTATACAAAGCAAGTTTTAATAGAAATGAAAAATGAAATTAGCAATAATTTCTTCTTAGCCACAATTATAAGAGGAGACCTTAACACACCATTGACACCAAGGGACAGATCAACTAGACAAAAAATCAGCAAAGAAATAACAGAACTGTATCACACCTGTGAACAAATGGACTTGATATACATATACAGTGTTCCATCCAACAACATCCCAATATACATTCTCAGCAGTACCGGGGACTATATCTAAAATAGACCATATGCTAGCCAACAAAACACATTTAAATAAATGCAAAAGAATTGAAATTATTCCATGCATGTAATCAGATCATAATGCCATGAAATGAAAAATTAATGATAAACTGCAGAAACGCACAAACACATGGAAGTTGAATAATATACTCTTGAGCAACTAGTGGGTCACAGGAAAAATTAAAGAAGAAATTAAACAATACCTACAAGCAAACAAAAGTAAAAATACAACTTACTGGAATCTGTGGGATGCAATGAAAGCAGTCCTCAGAGGAAAATTTATTTCAATGAGTTCCCACATCAGGAAAATAGAAGGAATACAAATAAGCAACCTGATGCTACACCTCAAACATCTAGAAAAAGAAGAGCAAGTCAAGCCCAAAGCCAAAGAATGGATGAAATTATAAAAATCAGAGCAGAAATTAATGCAATAGCGACTAAGAAAACAATCCAAAAAATCAATGAATCAAAGGATTGGTTCTTTGAAAGAATTAATAAAATTGATAAGCCCCTAACCAATCTTATTTTAAAAAGGAAAGAAAAAGAGCAAATTTATGCAATAAAGAATGAAAAAGGCAAAAACACTGCAGACTCTGTGGAAATACAGAAGATCAATAACACCTATTTCAAAAACCTCGATTCTCCTGTGTTCAGTAATACAAAGAAATGGGCAGACTCCTAGAAACATATCAAGTACCAAAGCTAGGAAAAGAAGAGGTAAAGCTTCACAATAAACCAATTTCAATTAATGAAATTGAACTTATATCTAAGTCATTACCTACAAAGAAGAGTCCAGGCCCAGACAGATTCACTACAGAATTCTACAAGAAATACAAAGAAGACTAAATGCCAACACGCCTCAAACTCTTCAATGAAATTGAAAGGGAAGCTATTCTCCCTAAGTCATTCCTGGAAGAAAATATTACTTTACTACCAAAACCTGAGAAAGACCCAAGGAAAAAAGAATACTACAGGCCCATCTCCCTAATGAACACAGATGCAAATAACCTCAATAAAATATGGGCAAATAAGATGCAGCAAATCATCAAGAAGATTATGCACCACAACTAAGTGGGATTCATCCCGGGCATGCAGGGATGGTGCAACATACGTTAATCCATAAACATAATCCGCCATATCAATAAAGCCAAAAGTAAAAATCACATAATCTTTCTACAGATGCAGAAAAAGCTTTTGATAAGGTCCAACATTCATTCATGATAAGAACCTTACAGAAAATTGGAGTAGATGATCTTTACATTATTATGATAACGGCCATCTATAACAAACCAATAGCCAGCAACATATTAAATGGCCAAAAACTGAAGGCCTTTACCTTAAAATGAGGCACAAGACAAGGATGTCCCATATCACCACTCTTATTTAATACGGTACTGGAAATACTAGCCAGAGCAATTAGACAAGAGAGAGAAATAAAAGGGGTAAAGATAGGAAAAGAGGAAGTTAAATTATTGTTATTGTGGATGACATGATACTCTACATAGAAGACCCCCAAAACTCCACTGAAAGACTCCTAGATGTAATAAATAAATTCAACAATGTAGCTGGATACAAAATCAATACACAAAAATCAATAGCATTTTTATGCAGTAACAACAAAATCGCAGAGATAGAAATAAGAGAAGCCACACCCTTCACACTTGCAACTAAAAAACTGAAATATTTAGGAATTATTATCATGATAGAAGTGAAAGATCTATGTACATAAAATTATAACACACTGAAAAATAATTGAAGTATGTCTCAGAAAAAGGAAAGACATCCCTTGTTCATGGATAGGAAGAATAAATATTGTGAAAACGGCCATTCTCCCAAAAGTGTTATACAGATTCAATGCAGTCCCAATGAAAATACCATCTACATACATAGATCTAGAGAACTCACTCCTAAAATTCATCTGAAGCGAGAAGAGATCCAGAATAACAAAGACTGTTCTAAGCACCAAAGGCAAGGCAGGAGATATCACAATTCCTGACTTGAAGTTGTACTACAAAGCTACTGTAGTAAAATCAACATGGCACTGGAATCAAAACAGAGTTGAAGATCAACGGAATAGATTAGAAGATACAACCACAATTACTAACACACTCAACCACCTTATCTTTGATAAAGGGGCCAAACATGTTCACTGGAAGACCGACAGTCTCTTTAAAAAAATGGTGCTGGAAAAATATGCCAAAAACTAAAATTAGACTCATGCCTATCACCATGTACTAAATTAAAATCTAAATGGATCAAAGATCAGAATATTAAAACAGAAACACTAAATTTATTGGAAGACAAATTGGTTAAAAATCTTGTAGACATAGGGGTAGGTAGAGAATTCCTGAACAGGAATCAAACCGCACAGGAAATACTTCCCAGAATCAATAGTTGGGATTACCTCTTATTATAAAGATTTTGCATGTCAAAAGTAATCTCTATCATAGTGAAAAGAAAACCCACAAACTAGAAAGAATCTTAGTGAACTGTCCCTAGGACAAAGGACTTCTATCTAAAACATTTAAAGAATTTTTTAAAAATCAGACCCCCAAAATTCAAAGATCCAATCCAAAAATTGGGCATCTGAGATGAATACACAATTCTCATGTGAAGAAATACAAATGGCAAATAAATACATGAAAAAATGTTCATCATCATTACTCATTAGAGAAACACAAATTAAAACCACACTGAGATTCCATTTCCTGCCTGAAAGAATAGCCAGGATCAAGAAAAATACCAACAACAAATGCTGGAGAGGCTGTGGGGAAAAGGGGAGCCTCCTGCACTTTTGGTGGGAGTGTCGATTGGTGCAACCATTTTGAAGGTCAATTTGGAGATTTCTCAAAAAGCTGGGATTGCAAGTCCCACTTGTTCCAGCTATTACACTTCTAGGCATATTCCCAGGACTGAAAACTTCACACCACAGTGATATATGTGCACCCATGTTATAGCAGCACACCACAGTGATATATGTGCACCCATATTATAGCCAGATCTTGGAAACAACCTAAGTATCCATCAACTGAGGAATGAATAAAAAGGTTGTGGTATTTTTATACAATAGAGTACTACCCAGCTATAAAGAATGATCTCATTGAGATATTTATAAATAAATATATGCAACTTGAGACAGTACTCGTAAGCAAGATAAATCAAGCTCACATGTATAAATAATGAATATTTTCCCTAGTGTAAGAAATGTTAAGAATACATAACAGTATGTGGTAATCATGATCCCCCATTATACTGCTTTGAAGCTTTACAATGTTTTCATTCATTAAGTGGAATGGTTTTATTCTGGATTGTTTGATTTTATTGTCTGTGATGGTATGAACAGTTATTTTGAAGAAAACAGGACATAAAATATTAGTGCTGATTTAGTATCAGCTTGTTTTGAAGTCCCATCAAGCTTTTGTTCTTCTGTCTCCATCAGTTATATCCTGATGTGTCTTACTGGATTTTTTATATGTGATAGTATAAACAAAATTTTTTATAGACAAGGAGATAATATAGAAATTGTTTGTTTTCTGTTAGTTGGTTCTGAATACCCTGTGATACTTTTACCCACTTGAATGTTTTTACACTGTCTTGTTATGTTTGATACTATACTATACAAAGGTATACTCAAATATTTCAAGGAAAGAGACACTATGGCACTATGGTAACTACTGTTACGTCGGGTTATCCTGTGGTGAAACACTGTGTTTCTTAAATTCTTCTGACCTGTGTTATTTTGTCCTCTTTCATCTTAATCTCCCATATATATATATATATATATATATATATATATATATATATATTAAAAATGAGATGTTGCTATCAGTTTGACTCAGGGCCTTTTCCTGTGGTACTGGACTATGGGGATGATTACAACTCCTTATAATTGCAGTGTTGTCATACAGGGAAGAAAGCTGATTATAATAGGTATGACATCCCCATTAAATTATTACAGCTAGCAATAATAATAGACTAAAGCACGATCTTGCTACTAACAAACTGGTAACTATTAGTCTGATATCTTTAACCATAGGAGTAAGTTCTATAGTTATCTAATATAATGCAGCTCACAGCAGGAACCTGTAGGTTATGATTTTCCATTAATTAGAGTGATTTTACTCTGATGGAGTGAGATTAAGAGGAATATAGGTTAGATAGAGAGATGAATGAGGTTAGATATATTAGGTGGGCAAGGGGTCACCATCCAAATTTTGGGATACTGTAGGACACAAGAGGGAAGGATTGAAAGAGAAAACCTAGAAGTATTACAGTGAACCATAAAGAGAAGGACCAATATTTAGTCTCATGGAACTATCACCATACAAAGCTAGATCATTAATGAAGGACAGTAAGAAGATGAGTATGAGTAAACCAAACGGAATTTTAGAGACCTGTGTAATGAAAGCAAGAAAAGAGAAAACCAGAAATCCAAAAGAGCCACATACAGGGGAAAAAGGAAACAAACAAATAAAAAGAAAAAGAAAACAGAAAAAAATAGAAGAGTAGAAAAAAACCCAACTAACCAGACACAAAAAGAAAAACCAACCAGTCAGAGAAAAGTAAAAGCAGTAACATTCCTCTATTATCTTAAGGTTTTGAGGTAGGTCCAAGTCAGATTCCAGAAATGTGCACTGTATCCATTTTTGTTTTGTTTTGTTTAGTTTGGTTTGGTTTGTCTTTTTGAGACAGTTTCTCACTAGGCAGTTCAGGCTGGCCTTGAACTCACATTATGACCCAGGATGGACTCAAATTTGCAACAGTCTTCCTGCTTCAGCCTCCCAAGTGCTGGGATTACCGCCACGTACTGATATGCCTGGCTTCAAGGGATAATGAATGTAACCACATTCACAGGTAGATTTCTACTGGGTATTGATTTGGGGAGATAAAATTAGTTTTCTGTGGTTGGAGTTCTCCCGCATCCTTTAGGAAAAAAAAAAAGAAAAACAAAAATAGATAGCCATACCACCTCACCTCTATTCTGTGTGTCTTTCACATTAGCCCTGTACTGTTTCTCCAAACTTAGCAACTCTAGCCTTGTATCATTACTGTTGCTTTGGGCTTTCCAAGTTACTTGTTCGACACCTATCCTGTGCACCCCAGTTTGGCCCCACTGTGTCACCAGAGATCTCACTACCTTGCCGGGCCCTGTAAATGGAGGAGAAGAGTCACCCCATCTTGCAATCCCCCTGAGGATGGAGGGAAGGGTTGTATTCATAATTCCTGGCCCAACTGGGCCCTGTCATTTGGAGAAAGAGACCTCCATTGTTTCTTATGGGAAAAATAATATTGACTTAAAATTAACTTTGGTTACAATCAATCCTCACAAGCTAACTGAGTGAGTACAAGGGTCTCATGTATGTGTTGATTTTTTGTTTAGCAGTTTCTGCCTTTTGTGATAGTGAGGATTTCAGGTTCCCTATTTTAACTTTATTGATGTTTATCTGATTTTTCATGCGTATTAATATTTCTTTTAAATTGTGGGATCTGCTGGTATTTGGTTCATATATATTTATGGTTGTTATTGCTTTCACTTGGACTATTCCTTTAATAAGTGTGTGGTGATCTTTGTTTCTTTGATCAGTCTTGGCTTGACATAGAATGTCTTGAAATAGAATAGCTACCTCTAGTTTGTTCTGGGTTCCTGTCTGCCACATGGAGTATTGTTTTCCATTCTTTAACTTCCAGTGTATACATTTATTTTTTTTACTCAGTGCATTTTGTAATCCTTGATTGAAGCATGTCTTTGGATCCTGTTTCTTTATCCATTCTGGCAGTCTGTTTCTCTTGATTTGTTAATTTAGACCATTAATTGATAATTATAAGATATATGTATTGCATCTTTCTGGCCTCGCTATTTTCCTATTGCTAATTCTCTCTCTTTTTCTCCTGTTGAATTGCTTATCTTGCCAATTGGATTAATTCTATTCAGGTTGAAGGACTTGTAGTCTTGTTTCTTTGTAGAACATTCTTTAGAACATTTGATTGTCCAGTTTTGTGGTCATGAATTCCTTAAGATGGTTTTTGACAGAGATATCTCATTTTGAGTCCATGTTAAAAGACAGATTGTAAGGTACTCAGTCTGGATTGGAGGTTGTTTCCTTTTAGGATGTAACACTTCACCCTTCACTCTTCGAGTTACAGTTTTGTGCAAAGAAGTCTGCTATGATTTTGATTGGCTTTCCTTTATAAGTGACTGGTTTCTTTTCTCTCATATCTGTTAGTATGATTTTCTTGTGATCAAATTCTAGAGTTTATCTCTTATATACCTTGGTGGAGTGTTTTTTAAATCATAACTAATTGAAATTCCGTATTGTTCATTTGTCTATATGTTAAAGTCTATTTCCATGCTTTGGAAGTATTCTCCTATTAGCTTTCTGTAAATGATTTTTTATATCATTTTCATTACATCCTGAATATTCTTTACCTGTGATTTATATTATATTTTTCTTCTTTGTGTCTTCTGTCAGCTATTTGATTCATTGATTTTTATTTATTTATTTCATTACTTGTCATTTTTAATAAATCTCTCATTTGATGTTTCCTAACCTTGAACCTGCATTCTAGATTTGATATTCTGTCCTCAAATGTTTCACTCTGTACACTATCAATAGAATTTTCAATTTCCTAAATATTTGTTTTAATCTGCTTCATGCAGCCCATTACTTTCCTGTATTGGACATTTATGGTTTCCATAATTTTCCTAAACTCCTCTTCTTTTTTGTAGTAATATCTATTCTAAATTCATGAACCATGTCCTTCATTACATTATATTTTATAGTTCTCAGTAAAATTATTTTTTATATTTTTCTACAGCCTCCTTTATCTTATATGCAACTTCCAGTGATACCTTGTTAGACAGCTGAGAAAGGTGGCTTTTGATTTTTTCCAGTTCATTGCTTCCTGCATTTACATCAGGTGAATTGGAAGTGTGAGCTTGCATGTTGGTGTCATGTGTACTCATTTTTTTAAATTTTAAAACTCATTTTAAAAACTCAATTTTTAAGATTTTCTGCAATGATTCTTGTAAATTTCTTGTGGTCAGTAGCAGTATTTATTGTACTAGAACACCTCAAGAAATGATTACTTTTCAGAGACATCTCCCAGTTGTAACTGGATTTTGGCATCTGAATGTATCACAATGTTCTACATCTTAAATTTATGAGAAATGCGAAGTTATGGCTTACTTTTTCCAAGCCCTTGATTCTTTGGTTTGGGATAGTATTTATTGTTTGTGACCCTCAGACAATCGTGATCTTGGTAAAGATGGAAGAATAACTGATTAGAACAATGATGTCACTTTGAGTAAAGTAGAAAAATCAGTAAGAATAGTACCCATTGCAGCCTAGAAAATAACACACTTGGGAAACCATTAATATCCTATCGCTTTTCTTTTTTAAAGAGAATAAAATCTAACAAAATAAAACAGAATAAATGCATTCAAAACAAAACAGTGAAAGTGGTACAGAACTTTAAAACAGGGTACTAAGAAAACAACAATGATTACTGTATCCTATAATTGTTACCATAGTTGTCCATACCATCACACATAGTAAAATTAAATATAACAAAACAGAACAAAATCAATCAAAATAGAACACTAAGTAAAACAAAACAATAAATTGCAACAAAACCAAACAATGAGAACAATATGGGATTTCATTTATAAGACAGAAGGAAATCCCCCATGTTTGCAATATTTTAGACTTTCATCCTCCCAACAGATGCTCAGACTACTGGCCTTAGGCCT